TCTTGCGTACGTGGCCTCTGAGGCCAACACTGCTGATATCTTCACCAAGGCACTTGCGCCTTGTGACCATCAGCGCTTCTGTACTCAGCTGGGCCTTGTGCCTACCTTGCCTCACTTGCTCACCTCTTGACCTTGCTTGTACTGTTACATATATATATACCTGCTCTTGTTTGTCTAGCCTTTTTATATATATGTGTACTCCTGCTTGTGAACTGGCCTTGTGGCCTTGAACTTGTGCTCGGAATGTGTGGTGACTTTGTGATCCACCCTGAGCTTGTTTTTGCTTTGCTTTGCTTGACTGGTCTTGTGACCCCTTGTTCTCCCCCACTTTGCCTATGGGGGTGTGTCAGATTTATATGACATAGCTACTGTAGGCTATAGTGGGGTAGCACATATGGGGTACAGTTTTCTAGGGTTTGCTTCTTGTACCCAACTTTCACTTAGTCATCTCATTCCTCGTTTCTTCTCAAACAAGGGCAAGGAGCATATAATTACGTGATTACTTTCATCGACGCCGCCACCCGTTACGTCTGGCATCTTAATCTCCCAAGTCGCGACATGGCCTTCGAAGCCTTCGTCGCCTGGCTACCTGTGGCAGAACGAGAATCAGGAGCAAAGCTGAAAAGCTTCCAGTCAGACGGAGGAGGGGAATATCATTCCCAAAGGTTCAGGCAGTACCTCGCAGAACGAGGCATCAAGAGACTCATCTCGCTTCCCTACGCCCATCAACAGCAAGGCGTGGCAGAGCGGATGAACAGAACTCTTTAGAACACCATGCGCAAACTGTTGCGTGGCATACGACTGCCCAGCCACCAATGGCCTGAGGCGATGGACCACGCTGTCATGCTGCACAACTTGCTCTCGTCATCATCGCTCCCGAACAACGCATCACCGCACCTGCTGTGGACAGGAAAATTGGGCAACAAAAAAAATGTTACGAGTTTTCGGGTGCATGGTACAGTACCGACCGCACACTGCGAGAGCTGGAAGATTTTCTCAACGGGCACAGTGGGGACTACACCTGGGCATCGAAAAGCATTACAACGCATGGAAGATTTTCGACGTCCACTCAAAGGAAACAGTAGCAGCACGTGATGTCATCTTCTACGAGCGACTCACACTTCATACGTACCTGGACAACCTGGCACCAAATCGAGACCTCACGGGCGGATTCCGTGGCAACCGAGCCTTCCCTTCAGCAGAAGACGAAGCTGACTGGGATGAGCAGAACGTGGACGGAGCTTCGGAAGAAGCCGGACCTCTCCCATATTGCTCCGTGCCCCTCCCGATGGACGACGAAAACCCTCGCGAAATTGTCAACGCCGACACCGGTTACGTTACACCTCAACTGGTTGACACCAACGTCTCCGAACGCATAGGACCGAATTTCTTACCGGATCCAGAAGCAGGAGACGAAGCAGCTTATCCAGAGGACACAAATCTCCCCCGCTACACACAGAGTGGACTGCAGATACTGGGACTCGTCACCGCTGTCCACGGAGCAGCACCGCCTAAGGAGCCTGCCAACATTCAGCAGGCTCTGGGGAGGGGGAACACAGGGAAAAATGGTGAGAAGCCATGGACAGAGAGTTAAAGGCGCTGCAAGAACGCAACACCTGGAAAGCCGTGCCTATCGGAGTGGCACGTAACAAGACCATTCTCACGGGAAAAAGGGTTTTCCGCGTGAAAACAAAAGCCGACGGAACAATCGACAAATTCAAAGCACGCTGGGTTGTGCCTGGCTTCGACCAAGAGCAAGGGCGAGACTTCATGGAAACTTTTGCACCAGTAAGCCGACATACCTCACTGCGGATTCTCCTCACGATAGCAGCCATGAACCGGAAGAAGCTTCGGCAAATCGATGTCGCCAATGCCTTTCTCTACGCCCCCGTCGATGCCGAGATCTTCGTCGAACTCCCGCACGGGTCTAACGCAGACCCCAACCAAGTTTGTCAGTTGGAAAAATCTCTATACGGCATCAAACAAGCCCCGAGACTGTGGCAGCAGCACCTTCACGCCCGCATAATCCGCATCGGATTCCTTCAACTACCGCACGACCAAGGGATGTACCGACTTACGAAGGGTACCGACTACAATCTACTCATCGTCTACATCGACGACCTCCTCTACATAGGCTCCACCGACGCCATAACGACATGGTTTGAAGGGGAGCTGCAGCGGGATCTTACACTCACCGTCGCGACCACCGTGACACAGTACCTAGGACTGAACATTCAAGACGGCGACAACGCAATCTACCTCAGCGCCGAAAAGTACACAGACACTATCGCTAAACGTTTCGGACTCACTCCAACTGTCATCTCCACGCCATACCGCTATATCGACAGAAATCGAAAAGCCTCCGCTCTACTCAAACCTGCCGGCATCCGCGACTACCAACGAAAGTTAGGCTGCCTACTCTTCGCAGCCGTCACCTGCCGACCGGATCTATCCTACTCAGCTAGCCAACTCGCTACCTACCTCAAGAAGCCTGAAACAGAGCACATACTTGAACTCAATCGAGCACTTCACTACCTCGTCAGCACTCCGACGATCGGACTAACCTACCACAAGACCGGAACTACGACACCTAAGCTAATCGGTTACGTCGACGCCGATCACGCTGGAGACTCCGACAACAGACGATCTCGAACTGGCTACATCTACCAACTCGAACCTATCGGTCCTATTTCATGGCAGTCGAACAAATAAGAGCTAATCGCCCTCTCCTCAGCAGAAGCAAAATATATCGCACTCTTCTCAGCCACCAAGGAAGGGCTATATCTTCGCGAATTACTAGAGGAAGCAAAATTGGCTCAGTTACCCAGCTTCTCCCTCTTCTGCGACAACCAATCAGCCATTCGCATAGCGAACAAAAATGGGTTCGCGAATCGAACAAAGCACATCGCCCTCCGGTACTTCTTCGTAAAAGACGAAATCGAGAAGGGAAGACTCGAGCTATCCTACTGTCCCACATCCGAGATGGCAGCTGATTACTTGACCAAGAAACTCGGAAAACAGAAGTTCGTGTACTGCATGCTGCTGACTGGACAAGGACACGTCATCAGCAGCGATACTCCAGAAGCGAAGGGGAGTGTTGGAAACAAGTAAGTTAAACGCTTCTGAAGTATCTAAGTATCGACACGAATCGGAGCGGACTACAGCGAAGAAACACACGAGTCAACAAAAGCAACCGCTGGAGGTTACGCGAAGGTCAAAGGTCGCTGACCTTTGACTTGACGAAAAGTACAGTGCGACAGCAAGGACGCATAACTGACACGTTTCTGAGCAGTTACTCGAGTCGGCACTATATGGAACCGCAACAGCAAAAACAGTTAAAGTAGAACTTTTCATATTCCTTTGTAATCATATAAAAGCCTTGTATTTCTCTGCTATTAATAACTTATCTTGTTCTCACACACTAGTACAAGGTGGTTCAAGCAACTCTGATATCAAACGCTTCCGCAAATACAACATCTCTACTTCAACCCCGATCTTAGCATTGAAAAGATCCTAAGGGCTTTTCTCAGCCCAACACATTACAGTGGCTCTGATAGCCAAAAGTTACAGGTGCAATGTATCGAGGTAGTGAGGATTGCACTAAGTTGGCAAACGAATACAAATGTGAACGAATGCACGATCGAATTTATAGAGAAACATGCAAACAGTAACGCGGTGCGTGCGAGCTAGCTAGTGCGATGCTGGCATCGAGGCTCGGGCTAGTCCCGAAGCGTAGGCCAACTCGGGCCAGTCCAGGAGTGCGTGGTTTGGGAAACGTGATGCGAGAAGGCGGCGAAACACCGTTAGTAGTAATGGGCGAAGAACGATCGGTCTTGTACGCGCTGATGAGGTGCTAAGGAGTGCAAAAAAAACTCCTTACATGCAGTAGTGAATTCTTATGCAGTGTGGTGTGGCATGCTCGTTCTGGTCTCTTACGCTTATTTCACGCGGTATCGTAAGATCTTGATGCATCTTAAACGGTTACAAGACTGTAGTCGTTACAAAAGGGTAGTCGTTTACAATACGGTTTTCACCCATCTGCTTTCAGTCGACCTGTCTTGACGGAACCAAACCAAACCGAACCAAAAACCATGCAGACCCGTGCCAACCGACCGAGGCACAATGATGTTTCCTTCCCTTTCTCCCATTTTGTAGATCACTCCCTGATCAGTTGTCCCAGCATCTGACTTCAGTGTTGTGTTGCGAACTTGCGAGCAAGACGCTGAGTTCCCAGGTAGAAGCAGGAGCAACGGAACTTGCGCTTCCTTCTCGTGTTCGAAGGATCCGGTATGGGCGTGATTGACTGAAAATGGATGCCGACTGACGTTTTCTGTGAACTGTTCGTTCTGGTTAGGCTTTAGACGGTTTCAGTCTGGGACCTGACTGACGACGATGGGCGACTGACGAACGACGCTCCACATTGGACAGACGAAACTGTCCACTTGACCATCGGCGACGTTCCGTTAGCTTCGCGACGTTCTCCTCCAATCGCGCCGTTCTGGTTACCACATCAACGATTTTAGGGCTCGCTTCGCGCCATCTCAATATCCGAGCGCGTTCCCTTCAGATTAATAAACGGAGAATTTTATCCGCAAGCGATGGCCGCCTCTTTGTGCCGTCATGCCAACTCATGCATTCTCCCCCGCTCCTTCCGAAATGCCCTCCTACTCCTCCTCCTCCTCCTCCTACTGCCGCCACCGCTGCCATCCCCCACTTCACTGCTACTCTTCCCAACGCGACTCGCCGTTCCGTCCCGCTGCGCCGCCGCCGCCGCTTTCGCCGCGGCTCACGCAATCCGAGGGCCGTCGGCCTTGCGTGACGTCGACCTGACGTCAGCGCGGAGCCACGTGGCTTCCATCCATAGGACAGCTGAACAGGAAGCTGAAGGACGGGAGCCAAGCTTTTCTGATAATAGGGCTGCTGTTGGAACGGCAGCTGCTGACGTAGCTTCTCGTCGCGTGCTGCTGCCGCGGGAATCGCCTGAGGCGGTCGGATCAGGCATGCAGCTTCACGATGACGCTGAAGCTCCGAAGTCGGGTTCGTCTAATAAGGCTGCTGTTGGAACGGCAGCTGCTGACGAGGCTCCTCGTCGCGTGCTGCTGCCACGGGAATCGCCCGAGGAGTTTGGTTCAGGCATGCAGCTTCACGAGGACCTGATGCCGCTGTGGGACATGGCTGCCCACGTTGCCGTCAACGGGACCGTGCTCGTCGTGGTTTCTAACGCCGGTAAGGGAAGGGAGTGAAGTGACCCGGCATTCCCGAGGGTTGGAATCAGGGCTAGGGGTCAGGCATGCACCTTCACGAGGATTTGATGCCGCTGTGGGACATGGCGGCCCGCGTTGCTGTCAACGGGACCGTGCTTGTCGTGTTTTCCAATGCAGGTAAGGGAGGGAAGTGGATGTGTTAAAATTTCCAGTTTTTTGCGGGTTTTGAGGCTCCCTGTAACGCATGCTGCTGTGGGACATGGCGGCGCGTGTTGCTGTTAACGGGACTGTGCTCGTCGTGGTGTCTAATGCCGGTAATGGTTTGAATTGAATGGAAGTGGAATTATGTTAGCCTATTACTCTACGTCACACCTCACTGTATCTCGTTAACCCCCATTCCCACCGTTCTGTTCCTGCGTCTGTCCCAGGCTACACCGACATGCTGGAGAACTGGGTGCGTGCAACAGTAAACCTCGCCAACTTACCGCACTCCTCTCCACCGCACTGCATTTCATTAAACCCGTTCCCATCCCTGTGTCTGTCCCAGGCTACACCGACATGCTGGAGAACTGGGTGCGTGCATGAAAGGGCATTCCTCCTCACTACCCTACCTCACACCTCTCCACCGAACTGCACCCCCATTCCACCCCTCTCTCCCAGGCTACATGGACATGCTGGAGAACTGGGTGCGCCACGTCAGCAATGCTGGGCTGGGAGCGCACTTTATTCTCTTTGCAGAGGATGAGGAGACCCTTAGGTTCGGCCAGACCAGATGGCCAGGACAGGTGAGGCACGGGTAGGTGCAGTGTGGTAGGTTGTAGAGGGAGGTAGCATGGTTATTTTTTAGTCTAGCCAAATGCGGGGCTTGGAGCACACTTTATTCTCTTTGCTGAGGGTGAGGAGACCCTTAGGCTCGGCCAGACCAGATGGCCCGTGCAGGTGAGTGAGGCACGGGCAGGGCAGGTGAGGCACAGGCAGGTGAGGCACAGGCAGGTGAGGCACGGGCAGGTGAGGCACGGGCAGGTGAGGCACGGGCAGGTGAGGCACAGGCAGGTGAGGCACGGGCAGATGAGGCACGGGCAGATGAGGCATAGTTCCAAAAGCAGACGTAGGGGCTTACGATCCGCCCTCTTGCCTATCCCACCACCCCCCCTCTTGCCTATCCCACCATCCCCTCTCTTGCCCATCTCATCCCACTATCCTCCCTCTCGCTCATCCCACCATCCCCCCTCTCGCTCATCCCACCATCCCCCCTCTCGCTCATCCCCCCATCCCCCCTCTCGCTCATCCCCCCATCCCCCCTCTCGCTCATCCCACCATCCCCCCTCTCGCTCATCCCACCATCCCCCCTCTCGCTCATCCCACCATCCCCCCTCTCGCTCATCCCCCCATCCCCCCTCTCGCTCATCCCCCCACAGACCATCCACCTGATCCCAAACAGACATTGCTGGTGAGGAAACATTTGTTCCAAGGGCTAATGAGGCGTGTATTAATCCCCTCTTGTCCATCCCACCATCCCCCTCTTGCCCATCCCACCATCCCCCTCTTGCCCATCCCACCATCCCCCTCTTGCCCATCCCACCATCCCCCTCTTGCCCATCCCACCATCCCCCTCTTGCCCATCCCACCATCCCCCTCTTGCCCATCCCACCATCCCCCTCTTGCCCATCCCCACACAGACCATCCACCTGGCCCTTCCCGACCAATCACTCTCCGCCACCTGGCAGCTGCCTGCCTTCCCACACTCACCACACTCCGCCACGCGTGCAGGCACTCTCTCCTTCCACCTCCTCGCCTCCCGTCGCATCCTCTACCTCCTCCACCTCCTCTCCTTCGGATTCAACCTCCTCTATTCCGACACAGACGTTGCCATTCTGCGCAACCCTCTCCCAGAAATCACCGCTGATCCAAAACAGACGTTTGACATAGCTCTCACTTTTGATGGTTACGAGTCGAACTGGCAGAAGAAAGCAGTTCCGGTGGAGAGTTACGGCGTCGCGAAGCTAGCTGACCGGAAACTTTCCGTTTCGAGCTCGTTGCTTTTCCTCCGCCCGACGTCGGGAGCTAAGTGCTTGGTGGGGGACTGGGCGAATAGGGTGATGAAGTTGGGGCGGGATGAAGGGACAGAGCAGGAGCATTTGAACACGCTGATCGTCGAAATGGATAAGTACGGTCTTTTGCCAACAATCGCCGTGCTGCCCGCGCAGAAATTTCTGTCCGGGCAGCTGCTGCTGGAGGATGATTGGGCGACGGTGGAGGCTTTGAAAGGGGAGCTGGTGACTGTGCATGCGGGCGGGCTGATGGGAAAAGACGCCAAGAGGTATGCTCTGAACAAAATAGGGTTTTGGATTGCAGAGTCAGATGCAGCAGCAGCAGCAGCAGCAGCAGCAGCGGGAGAAGGGGAGAGTGGAGGGAACGAAGCAACAGCAGGAGGAGAAAGAGGGGAAGCAGCAGCAGAAGCAACAACGGGAGGCGGGGAAAGGCTGAATGATGGGGAAGCAGCAGCAGGGACGAACTCTGAGCCTGCTAACGAGGACAACAAATGGCCTAGCACGACCGAAACCAGCACCCTCAGCAGCAGCAGCAGCAGCAGCAGCAGCAGCAGCAGCAGCAGCAGCAGCAGTGTCCGTGTAGGGGACAAGGGCCCGTTCTGTGTGGGGCTGCTATGTCCGGAGATGCATGTATCGGAGGAGGAGGTGGTGCTGCTGTCGGTGCAGCCGTGGGTGCCGCGGCACGTGCAGCAGATGGACCCTCTCGTGCCCATGGTGGCCTCCCCCGACCGCTTTGTGATTGTTACTGCAGCATGCAAAGGTAAGAGTGGAACAATGGGTGTGTTGGTGGGTGGGTGCAGGAGGAGGTGCTGCTGCTGTGCTGTCAGTGCAGCCGTGGGTGCCGCGTCACGTGCAGCAGATGGACGCTCTTCTTCCCATGGTGGCTTCAGTAGACTGTCATTGTCATCGCGGCGTGTAAAGGTAGGCTGTAGAATGCTGTTGCCGCTGCTGTAGTGAAGCCGTGGGTGCCGCGTCACGTGCAGCAGCCGTGGGTCAAGGGACCTGCTCATGCCCATGGTGGCTTGGCTTCAACTGCTACGACCAAGTCAAGTCAAATCCCTCGCTTCACCTGGCTTAACGCCATCCACTCTGCTGCCTTTCCCCACCGCCCATCTTCCTTACACGGATTCCCTTCCTCTCCGTCCTTCCCTATCCCCATCCCTATTCCCTTCAACCCTAACACTGCAAGGTCAATTCCCTCTTTTCACCAACTGGTTGAACGCCATGCACTCTGCCCTGCTCCCGTGCTCCACCTCCCATCATGCTCCCATCTTCCCTGGCCCCAAATCCCCCCTGTCCCCCAATCCCACTATCCCTCTACCCTCCCCTGTGCTCTACCAGATCAAGTCCCTCTCTTCACCAACTGCTTCAATGCCATGCACTCTGCTGCTTCTCCCCACCTCCTGTCATGCTCTGAGCTTCCCAACCCCTTTCCCTTCACCCCCCCTCCCTTCTGCCTCAACAATACCAGGTCAAGTCCCTCTATTCACCAACTGGTTTAACGCCATGCATTCTGCTGCCATGGCTGGCCATGTGATCGCCTCAGTGCCCCAAGAGGTGCGCCGTAACAATGTGTTTGTGCCAGGCATCGCAGCCATCACAAACACACAGAGGTGAGTGCCTGGGCATGTGATGTGATCGCGTCAGTGCCCCAAGAGGTGCGCCGTAACAATGTGTTTGTGCCAGGCATCGCAGCCATCACAAACACACAGAGGTGTGTGCCTGGGCATGTGATGTGATCGCGTCAGTGCCCCAAGAGGTGCGCCGTAACAATGTGTTTGTGCCAGGCATCGCAGCCATCACAAACACACAGAGGTGTGTGCCTGGGCATGTGATGTGATCGCGTCAGTGCCCCAAGAGGAGGTATGTCGCAAGAATGTGCGTTCTTCCAGAGGACAGTGTGTGGGGCAAGAGGAATGTGTGGGGCAAGAGGAATGTGTGGGGCAAGAGGAATGTGTGGGGCAAGAGGAATGTGGCTGGGCATGACGTCTTCAGTGCCCCAAGAGGTGCGCCGTAAGGATGTGTTTGTTCCCAAGGATATCCTAAGCTTTCCTAGCCCAAGGATGTGTTCGTCACTCTTTAGAATTGCTGCTCTTCCACTATGAGCGAAGACCCTTGAGGTGCGCCGTAAGGATGTGTTTGTTCCCAAGGACAGTGTGTGGGGCAACGCAAGAGCAATGTGGCAGAGCATGTGATGATCGCACTGCACCAGCTGCTTCTTCAAACGCCATGCACTCGGCTGCCATGGCCGGCTGGCCGCCATGTGATCGCCTCAGTGCCCAAGGAGGTACGCGGTGCTGTCGGGATGTGGTTTGACATGGGAAATACCACAAGAGCAATGTGGCAGAGCATGTGATGATCGCACTGCACCAGCTGCTTCAATGCCATGCACTCGGCTGCCATGGCTGGCTGGCCATTATGTGATCGCCTCAGTGATCGTGCCTGAAGAGGTACGTACGTCGTACGGAATGACGTGGGTCTCGTGAACGCCAAGAGGTGCTTGTAAGGGTGCCTTTTGAGTCGACTCGAAATTCACCTCATGAACGCCAAGAGGTACTTGTAAGGGTGCATGTGCCCCTAGACGAACGTGCGTTGTCACACAGGTGCCCCAAGGGAACGACTCCCGAGAACGTTTGTGGCAAAGAACAGTGCTTGTACCTCAACAGGTGCTTTGTAAGGGTGTGTATTTTTGTGTGTGTCTTCCCTCCATGTCCTCCCTGCCCTCTCCCCCTTCACTCCCTGTCCTCCCTGCCCTCTCCCTCTCCCCTCCCTGCCGTCCCTTCCCTGCCGTCTCTTCCCTGCCCTCTCTTCCCTGCCCTCTCTTCCCTGCCCTCTCTTCCCTGCCCTCTCTTCCCTGCCCTCTCTTCCCTGCCCTCTCTTTCCTGCCCTCTCTTCCCTGCCCTCTCTTCCCTGCCCTCTCTTCCCTGCCCTCTCTTCCCTGCCCTCTTTTCCCTGCCCTCCCTTCCCTGCCCTCTCTTCCCTGCCCTCTCTTCCCTGCCCTCTCTTCCCTGCCTTCTCTTCCCTGCCCTCTCTTCCCTGCCCTCTTTTCCCTGCCCTCCCTTCCCTGCCCTCTTTTCCCTGCCCTCCCTTCCCTGCCCTCCCTTCCCTGCCCTCCCTTCCCTGCCCTCTCTTCCCTGCCCTCTCTTCCCTGCCCTCTCTTCCCTGCCTTCTCTTCCCTGCCCTCTCTTCCCTGCCCTCTCTTCCCTGCCCTCTCTTCCCTGCCCTCTCTTCCCTGCCCTCTCTTTCCTGCCCTCTCTTCCCTGCCCTCTCTTCCCTGCCCTCTCTTCCCTGCCCTCTCTTCCCTGCCTTCTCTTCCCTGCCCTCTCTTCCCTGCCCTCTCTTCCCTGCCCTCTCTTCCCTGCCCTCTCTTCCCTGCCTTCTCTTCCCTGCCCTCTCTTCCCTGCCCTCTCTTCCCTGCCCTCTCTTCCCTGCCCTCTCTTCCCTGCCCTCTCTTCCCTGCCCTCTCTTTCCTGCCCTCTCTTCCCTGCCCTCTCTTCCCTGCCCTCTCTTCCCTGCCCTCTCTTCCCTGCCCTCTCTTCCCTGCCCTCTCTTCCCGGCCCTCTCTTCCCTGCCCTCTCTTTCCTGCCCTCTCTTCCCTGCCCTCTCTTCCCTGCCTTCTCTTCCCTGCCTTCTCTTCCCTGCCCTCTCTTTCCTGCCCTCTCTTCCCTGCATGTCCTCCCTGCCCTCCATGTGTATTTTTGTGTGTGTCTTCCCTCCATGTCCTCCCTGCCCTCTCCCCCTTCACTCCCTGTCCTCCCTGCCCTCTCCCTCTCCCCTCCCTGCCGTCCCTTCCCTGCCGTCTCTTCCCTGCCCTCTCTTCCCTGCCCTCTCTTCCCTGCCCTCTCTTCCCTGCCCTCTCTTCCCTGCCCTCTCTTCCCTGCCCTCTCTTTCCTGCCCTCTCTTCCCTGCCCTCTCTTCCCTGCCCTCTCTTCCCTGCCCTCTCTTCCCTGCCCTCTTTTCCCTGCCCTCCCTTCTCTGCCCTCTCTTCCCTGCCCTCTCTTCCCTGCCCTCTCTTCCCTGCCTTCTCTTCCCTGCCCTCTCTTCCCTGCCCTCTCTTCCCTGCCCTCTCTTCCCTGCCCTCTCTTCCCTGCCCTCTCTTCCCTGCCCTCTCTTCCCTGCCTTCTCTTCCCTGCCCTCTCTTCCCTGCCCTCTCTTCCCTGCCCTCTCTTCCCTGCCCTCTCTTCCCTGCCCTCTCTTCCCTGCCCTCTCTTCCCTGCCCTCTCTTCCCTGCCCTCTCTTTCCTGCCCTCTCTTCCCTGCCCTCTCTTCCCTGCCTTCTCTTCCCTGCCTTCTCTTCCCTGCCCTCTCTTTCCTGCCCTCTCTTCCCTGCCCTCTCTTCCCTGCCCTCTCTTCCCTGCCCTCTCTTCCCTGCCTTCTCTTCCCTGCCCTCTCTTCCCTGCCCTCTTTTCCCTGCCCTCCCTTCCCTGCCCTCTTTTCCCTGCCCTCCCTTCCCTGCCCTCCCTTCCCTGCCCTTCCTGGTTGCTTTCCTCACTGCTCTCTCCCTACCTCACCTGCTCCCACAGGTGGAGGGTACCAGCCAGGGCCTGCTGCGGCAGCCAGAGGAGAGTGAGTCAGACCACAAGGCAGCCCTCACGTGCCTGCTGTTGCCCTTGCTGCTGATGGAGCGAGTGCTCAAGCTCGGCTACAATGTCATCTACAGGTACAGTACGGTAGAATACAGTACAATACGGTGCAGTAGAGTACATTACAGGTACAGTACTTTGTTTAAGTCAAGCTCGGCTACAATATCATCTACTGGTCTGTAATAAATTATGTGAGCGTAAGCATGTGGGCTAGAGGTACAGTATGTGCTTTTGTGGACTGGACAACCACACGACATCCCTCACGTGCCTGCTGCTGCCCTCGCTGCTCATGGAGCGAGTGCTCAAGCTCGGCTACAATGTCATCTACAGGTACAGTGCAGTGCAGCTGATGTCATCTACAATGACATCAGCTCTTTACCTGTTTTTTTAGAATTGTCAAACAGACGTGCTGCTGATCTCATCTGCAGTGACATCAGCTCTGTATCGCTGCAAGACCCTCTCTCTTTCCTCCCTTCGTGTGCCTTGCATCACGCTCATGCCACCTCAACCCATTACACCCCCTCCCTTCAACCCTCTCCCATTACACTTTCTCTCCCCTTCCCCCTCTTCCTCCCACCCACTGCAGTGACACCTCCTCTGTATGGCTGCACAACCCTCTCCCGTCCGTCCCTCCCTCCTTCTCACTCGCATCACCTTCATGCCACCTCTCTGCCTCTTCCCCCACCGCATTTACCCGCTTAACCTGTTTCTCCCACCCACTGCAGTGACATCTCCTCTGCATGGCTGCAACCCCCCTCCCATTCCTTCCGTCTTGCCTTGAATTACCCTCATGTCATCTCTCTTCTTCCCCCCACCCCCTCTTCCTCCCACCCACTGCAGTGACATCTCCTCTGTATGGCTGCAAGACCCGCTCCCATTCCTCCCGCCAGAGTACAACGCAGCTCTCCCCTCCTCCGTCCCTTCCTCCACGCAACCATCACCGCCCGCTAACAACAAAATAGACGGCAAGCTCAAGCGCACCCTCCCGATCTCCCGCCCTGACTTGGGTTACTTCTCCCCTTGGTTCGCCGCGCTTCGCCCCTCCCGTCCCATACTCCTGATGCTGAGAGAGTGGGCTGTTCTTTCGTTGGAGGATTTCCGGGAAAGAGCAGCCGTGGCACATAGAAACTCCATCGCGCACTCGCTGTCCGCTTCGGAGAGCTTAAAAGTGGGGCTGAATGAGGCTATAACGAGGATGGTGGAGGAGGGGGAGCCGGGGTCGAATGTTGGCGTGTTGTCGCGGTGGTTGTTTCCGCCGGTTTGGAAGGTTATGGGGGAGAGGGAGTGGTTTGCGAGGCATCGGGAGGAGGTGGTTGCAGTTCCGAATGATTGTGGGGATGATGTGAGCCATAGGGAGATGTGCTTTAGGGATTTGAAGCTGTGGGTGTAGTTGGAAGGAATAGTGTAGGTTACAAACAACTATTTCTATGCTTAGAAATAATCATGAGGGAAGTGGTGCAAGTTACAACATTGTCGCCATTACGGAGGGGGGATAACCTCGGCGACAGACATTTCGCACGCTCGCATAATTGGCAGTCAAGCATGCTATTTTTGCCCGTGGCGATGTTGTCGACTGCGAGCGATCTCCGTACTCGTTTTCGTCAATTTCCGTCCAAATGATGCTGGGGCTGTGCCCAGTTGAGAAAGCATCGAGTAGGTAGGCTGGGACAGGTTGGCGGTGTGCAATTTTAGTTCACCCGATTACGGTGGAGTACGATGCTATGCGTTTCGGGGCGTTTAGTATATACTTCTTTACGTTTTGGTAGGGTTCAAAGCAGAACAAAGTTGTGTACCACCTCACTGGTCTCCCCCAAGTAGCTAGCCTATCATCTCAGAAGCAAATGCATGTGCTCTGTGCCTCGAACACTCGCCGACTGGTCGAAGGTAGGACTCACGAATCGCGATGCGAGCTCCTCACCTGGCTCTTTTGAGAAATTTCCTAAGTGACTCACCAATCACGATCGTCTCCGGGGTTTCTCAGCTATGGACAGCGTCTGAATGCGCTGTAAAGCTTAGGTCGCCTAGATTGGGGGTTTGCCATGCCTAGATAGGTAAGATTAAAAACAACAATGTGCAACTTCTGAGGCGTCTGAAAAAGCGACCTGATGGAGGCGTGTCTGCGCGCAGCGGCCTATTAGCAGCGTGTCTGAGTTGACTATTAAGTGCGACGCGTCGGCAGATTTAAAATATGGAGCCGCGACTCCGATCAGCGGCCTATCAGCAGCGCGTCCGACGCACCGTCGGCTGCGTTCTCCTCCTCTCCATCCTCTCGCTCCTCCTCCTCGCGTCTTTCACCGCAAAAAGCGGCGCCGGCAGCGGCGCGCGCGATTGGATCTTAAACTGGCTCCAAGTCTCCTGCGCTTCGAGCGCGCCGCAAAGCGCCTCGGGAAGCATTAGTACGGAAGCTGGCGAGTCGGTAGACTGGGAATTGCGCGGGGTAGGAGGTAGAGCAGACGAAGGGCTGAGCAAGCGTCACGTGGACGGTGGTGATGGGTACGGGGGAGGGCGGCGGTGCGAGAGAGTGACTAAAGCTGGGATATGCGTCTCGGATTTCTTCGCCCTCGTTGATGACGTGTACCGGTACGTTGATGACCCCACTCCCAAACCCCTTTTCATTCCCTCACTCCAACTTTCACCTCTTCCCTCCTCTCCCCACCTTCTGTAACAGCCCCTTCTGGCCCGACAACTCAGACCTCGTGATTCGAAGCTAACTTTAGCCAATGTACTTGCTTACCATCTCCCCACTGCCCCCTCCCTTTTGCCGCAACCCTCCTTCCCATATCAGCCCCCATTTGGTCCGGAGATTTTCATTCCTGCTTCGAAGCTACCTTTCGGCAATGCACTTTCTTGCTTGCTCCCCACTGCAGCCCCCCATCTCCCCCCCACCACTCCCCCGCCCCCCCGTCCTCCAACTCTCCTTTCCGTACCAGCCCCTTGTGGCCCGAAGAAGTTGACCTTGTCATTCGAAGCTTCCATTTCACAATGCCCTTTTCGCTTCTTTCTCCACCTCCTCCCTCACCCACCTTCCCTATCAGCCCTTTCTGACCCGGAGAGTCTGACCTCGTAATTCGAAACTACCCTTTGACAATGCCCTGTCCACTTCTTTCTCCTCGTCCGCCCCCCCCCTTCCCTAACAGCCCCTTGTGGCCCAAAAAAGTCGACCTCGTGATTCGAAACTACCCTTTCACAATGCCCTGTCCACTTCTTTCTCCTCGTCCGCCCTCCCCCTTCCCTAACAGCCCCTTGTGGCCCAAAAAAGTTGACCTCGTGATTCGAAGTTACCTCTCTGAAAATCTCTTTCTGCTCTACTCTCTCCCTCCCTCCTCCTCTCCCTCCCTCCTTCCCCTCTCCCTTTGTCAGCCCCTTCTGGCCCGGAAAAGTCGACCTCTTGATTCGAAGCTACCTCTCTGAAAAACTCTTTCTGCTCTACTCGCTGCTGACGTCAGTGGAGCTGATGTGGCCGCGCGGGATTGGCCGTGTGGTGGTCGTGCTGGATGAAGGGGATGACGTGGCAATGCATCTCATGCCGCCCTGGGTTCAGGTGAATGCGGTTACAACCGGTGATGGTAGGTAGGTAGGTAGGTAGGTAGGTAGGTAGGTAGGTAGGTAGGTAGGTAGGTAGGTAGGTAGGTAGTCGCGATTGCATTGCATGGGATGGTGATGTGATCTAATTTTTGGAGTGATTGATTATATTATGAACATCACAATCTGTATGCTGCTGACTATTACATTACTAAACTGTTGGAAGTTCAACTCCCCCCATTGCATGGCCAAGCTGATGTTGGAGCTGATGTTGGAGCTGATGTTGGAGCTGATGTTGGAGCTGATGTTGGAGCTGATGTTGGAGCTGATGTTGGAGCTGATGTTGGAGCTGATGTTGGAGCTGATGTTGGAGCTGATGTTGGAGCTGATGTTGGAGCTGATGTTGGAGCTGATGTTGGAGCTGATGTTGGAGCTGATGTTGGAGCTGATGTTGGAGCTGATGTTGGAGCTGATGTTGGGGAGGTGGGGGGAAGTCGGATGCGAAGGATCGGGTGGGATGGGGTGGGAAGGGGTGGGATGGGGTGGGATGGGGTGGGATGGGGTGGGACGGGTACAGGCAGTACATGTAGTACAGGTCATGGTGACCCTTTCGTTTATGTAACCATGCTGTGTTATTAGGCATAATGAGCGTTCCTTTTGAAACGCCACCCATGCTCCTCTATGAATGGTCGCTGTGTGTGGTGCTGCGTGGTCCCTTGTGGTGCTGTGTGGTATCGTGTCGTGTCGTGTCGTGCCGTGTGGTGTGGTGTGGTGTGGTGTGGTGTGGTGTGGTTTGGTGTGGTGTTTCTTGTTGCCGTGCGGTGCTGTGCGGTGTGCAGGGATCAGATTGCCCACACTGTGATGGGCAACTACCTATGGAACAATGAAAAGGATAAGGTGAGAGACAGAAGCGGTCAGAAATGCATTGAGACCCAATCTCATTAATTCTTCGTCTTTGTTCCCTCACATAGAGTTTTTTGTGTTTCAGCGAACTCAATCACACAAGGACCATGCACAGCACATACCCATTATTTAGTCGTATCAAAGGACCTCTCACATGCCATACTGCGAGTGGGCAATAGGACTAGAGGCATCCACCAGCCTCACTCCAGGGTGGTTTTTGTACCAGGCCTCAAAAACGCCCTCAATAACACCCTCAAAAACACCTTTAATAACACCCCAAAAAACACCCTAAGAGCCCCGTCAAAAGCTTCTTAAAAAAATCACCTGGCATTTGGGCTGGAGGCATCTAGCAGCCGCACTCCAACCACTTTCAACTTACCCCACCTGTCCCTCCTGCCTTCTCTCCTCCCTGCTTTGCCCCTTCAGATGGAATTTGCAATGGAGAGGATGGACCACACGCCCATCCCGCGAGTGGGCGTCCATCTGCCCTACACCAACCTCTACAAGGACCTCGGGGGGAGGGGGGGGGGTGCTTGCTGGGACGACCACTATTCGTCCCTCCTCCCTGCCCTTCCTTTTCCTTTCAGATGGAGTTCGCAATGGAGTGGGGCAACCACACGCACATCCCACGAGTGGGCGCGCATCTGCCCTACACCAACCTCTTCAAGGACCTCGGGGGCTCGCCTGTTGACCCCAGCTCTTTTCACATTCCCCATCAACCTCCCTGCCCTCTGCCGTGCCTTCAGATGGAGTTCGCAATGGAGTGGGGCAACCACACGCCCATCCCACGAGTGGGCGTGCATCTGCCCTACACCAACCTCTTCAAGGACCTCGGGGGCTCGCCGGTCGACCCCGGCTCCAAGCTCAACCTCTCCTTTGTGCAAACGGCCGCGCACTACCAGCGAGAGACCATCTGCCACTCGCTGCCACCAGGTAAAGTGCTGTTGCTGCTGCCACCGTAGCACTCCCTGCCACCAGGTAAAGTGGTGGTGGTGCTGCTGCTGCTGCAGCCGCTGCCACTAAAGCACTTGCCTCCTCCTGTCCACCCCACCTCTAAGCTCAACCTCTCCTTTGTGCAAACGGCCGCGCACTACCAGCGAGAGACCATCTGCCACTCCCTTCCACCAGGTAATGCGCTGCTGCTGCTGCTGCTGCTGCTGCTCCCTGCCACCAGGTAATTCTGCAGTGGTGCTGCTGCTGCTGCCACTTAGCACTCTGCCTCCTCCTGTCCACCCCACCTCCAAGCTTAACCTCTCCTATGTTCTTTCACAGATTTTCGGTGGTCCCAAGAGGGACCTCCTGGTGTAGATTTGCTATTCCTGCCATGAAGGGAGAGGGAGATAGGGATAGAGGGAGAGGAATAGTATGCAGATTTAGTTTTTGAGAATTCTCGAAAGGAGGGAGGGAGAGGGAGAAAGGGAGGGAGAGGGAGACAGGGAGGGAGAGGGAGGCAGGGAGGGAAGGGGGGACCAGTATGCAGATGGACTAACTTTCACTGCCTTGTTCCTCTTCACCCGCCTTGTCCCTCCTCATCTGCCTCTTCCGCTCTCCCTCCCTCTGGTCCCAGGTGAGCAGGCAGGGTGTGAGGTAGTGCAGGCAGGGTGTGAGGTAGTGCAGGCAGGGTGTGAGGTAGTGCAGGCAGGGTGTGAGGTAGTGCAGGCAGGGTGTGAGGTAGTGCTGGCACAGACACACATCTGGCGCTACTGTGCTGTGCACATAGGACAGGCAGCGCTGCCTTTTCCTCTTCCTCATAGGACAGGGAAAACTCATTTTCTCCTCTTCCTCATCTTTTCCCCCCCCTCCCCTTCCTCAACCTTGTCTTGTCCCTCCTTCCTCCCCACCCTAAACCTCCTGCCTCATTCCTCTGTGTAAGGCGAGCTGGAAGGGTGTGAGGGACAGGCAGCAGACACACTACTGGCGCTTTGCATGGGACAGGCACCTCTGGTCTGGAGGCAGCTCCTTCTCCCCTTCCTCGACCTTGTCCCTCTCTCCCTTTTTCTCCACCAACCTGGTACCAGGGGAACTCCCAGGGTGTGAGGGGGTGCCGCCGCAGACACACATCTGGCGCTACGCATGGGACAGGCAGCGGTGGAGACAACTCAGGAAGAGAGGCGCTGGTACGCAAATATTCGATCGGCACATTCGGGAGTTGCACTGTATTTACCGGGGTATGGCGAGGCATGTGGGGGATGGAGTGCGGAGCGGTGGGGATGGGGAAGAGGATGGTCGGCTGGTGGTATCGGTGGAAGGTGACGTAGAGTTGTAATAGCGGAAGCGGTTAATGAAGAGTTGTCTTGAACCACCTTGTGCTGGTTTGTGAGAACAAGATAAGTTAATAATAGCAGAGAAGTACAAGGCTTTTATATGATTACTAAGGAATATTGAAAGTTCTATCTTGACTGTTTTTGCTGTTGCGGCTCGATACAGTGCCGACTCGGGTAACTGTTCTGTAACGAGTCAGTTATGTGTCCTTGCTGTCGCACTGTACGTTTCGTCAGGTCAAAGGTCGGAGACCTTTTACCTTCGCGCAACCTTTGACGGTTGCCTTGGTTGACTCGAGTGCTTCTTCGCTGTAGTTAGTTCCGTTTTGTGTCGAAGCTTCGATACGACAGAAGCGTTATAAATCACTTGTTTCCAACACTCCCCTTTCGCTTCTGGAGGATCGTTGCTGATCACGTGTCTTTGTCCAGTCAGCAGCATGCAGTACTCGAACTTCTGTTTTCCGGGTTTCTTGGTCAAGTAGTCAGCTGCCATCTCGGATGTGGGACAGTAGGATAGTTCGAGTCTTCCCTTTTCGATCTCGTCTTTAACGAAGAAGTACCGAAGGGCGATGTGCTTCGTTCGATTCACGAACCCGTTTTTGTTCGCTATGTGGATGGCCGATTGGTTGTCGCAGAAGAGAGAGAAATTGGGTAACTGGGCCAATTTTGCTTCCTCCAGTAGTTCGCGAAGATATAGTCCTTCCTTGGTTGCTGAGCAGAGTGTGATATATTCTGCTTCTGCTGACGAGAGAGCGATTAGCTCTTGCTTGTTCGACTGCCATGAGATAGGCCCGATAGGTTCGAGTCTGTAGACGTAGCCGGTTCGAGACCGTCTGTTGTCAGAGTCTCCAGCGTGATCGGGGTCGACATAACCGATTAGTTCAGGTGTTGCGGTGCTGGTCTTGTGGTAGGTGAGGCCGATCGTCGGAGTGCTGACGAGATAGTGAAGCGCTCGGTCGAGTTCGAGCATGTGTACTGCTTCAGGTTTCTTGAGGTAGGTAGCAAGTTGGCTAGCTGAGTAGGATAGATCCGGTCGACAGGTGACGGCTACGAAGAGTAGGCAGCCTATTTTCCTTTGGTAGTCGCGGACGCCAACAGGTTTGAATAGGGCTGAGCTTTTTCGATTTCCGTCGGTGTAGCGGTATGGTGTGGAGATAGCCGTTGGGATGAGTCCGAAGCGTTTAACAATAGTATCCGTATATTTAGCAGCGCTGAGGTAGATGGCATCGTCGCCGTCTTCGATGTTCAGTCCTAGGTACTGCGTCACGGTGGTTGCGACGGTGAGAGTTAGATCTTCCTGCAGCTCCCCTTCAAACCATGTCGTCACAGTGTCGGTGGAGCCTATGCAGAGAAGATCATCGACGTAGACGATAAGTAGGATGTAGTCGGTGCCTTTCGTCAGTCGATACATTCCTTGGTCGTGTGGTAGCTGAAGAAATCCGATGCGAATTAGGCGGGCGTGAAGGTGCTGCTGCCATAGTCTCGGGGCTTGCTTAATCCCGTACAGTGACTTCTCCAGTTGACAGATTTGGTTTGGGCTTGCGTTGGATCCGTGTGGGAGTTCGACGAAAATCTCAGCGTCGACGGGGGCGTAGAGGAAGGCGTTGGCGACATCAATTTGTCGAAGCTTCTTTCGGTTCATGGCGGGGATTGCGAGGAGAATCCGCAGTGAGGTATGTCGGCTTACTGGGGCGAATGTTTCCGTGAAGTCTCGCCCTTGCTCTTGGTCGAAGCCCCGCACGACCCAGCGTGCTTTGAACTTGTCGATTGTTCCGTCGGCTTTCGTTTTCACGCGGAAGACCCATTTTCCCGTGAGGATAGTTTTGTTGCGTGCCAATTCGATAGGCACGACTTTCCAGGTGTTGCGTTCCTGCAGCGCCTTCAGCTCTTTGTCCATGGCTTCACGCCATTTTTCCCTGTGTTCCCCCCCCAGAGCCTGCTGAATTGTCGCAGGCTCCTTAGGTGGTTCCGCTCCGTGGACGGCGGTGACAAGTCCCAGTATCTGCAGACCACTCTGTGTGTAGCGGGGGAGATTTGTGTCCTCTGGATAAGCTGCTTCGTCGGCTCTTGCAGTGTGCGGTCGGTACTGTACCATGCACCCAAAAACTCGTAACATTTTTGTGTTGCCCAGTTTTCCTGTCCACAGCAGGTGCGGTGATGCGTTGTTCGGGAGCGATGATGACAAGAGCAAGTTGTGCAGCATGACAGCGTGGTCCATCGCCTCAGGCCACTGGTGGTTGGGCAGTCGCATGCCACGCAGCAATTTGCGCATGGTGTTCTGGAGAGTTCTGTTCATCCGTTCTGCCACGCCTTGCTGTTGATGGGCGTAGGGAAGCGAAATGAGTCGCTTGATGCCTCGTGTTGCGAGGTACTGCCTGAACCTCTGGGACTGATATTCCCCTCCTCCGTCAGACTGGAAGCTTTTCAGCTTTGCGCCCGATTCTCGTTCTGCCATAGGTAGCCAGGCGACGAAGGCTTCGAAGGCCATGTCGCGACTTGGAAGGTTAAGGTGCCAGACGTAACGGGTGGCGGCTTCGATGAAAGTGATTACGTAATTATATGCGCCTTGTCCTTGTTCGCGAGTATACAGAATGTCGCTGTATACTTTCTCGAGTGGTGCATAAGCTGGCGCACTTGGATTGTGGTGAGAGGCGAACGGTTGATGCGGTAAGTCGGCTTCGGGACAGGTAAAGCATGTTCCGCGGACTCGTTGGAGTTCTCCGCCGTCGGGTAGAAGGAGTGAGTCCTTGTTGAGCACTGTTGCCTTGATTGTGTTGTTTAACGTGGTGTTGCTTGGATGTCCTAGTCGTTCGTGCCACAGGGACTCACTTGCACGATGTCCGGGTGAGCGCCTATACAGGTTGGAGTTGGAGTAAAAGGCGGCGGTGAAGTTGGCGCTTCTGTGAACTTCTCGTGGAGTGGGAGCTAGCAGCTGCGCAGGAGTCGGTGGAGTGTCGTCGATGGGTGGTGATGCCGTCGATGAGCTCGCGATTGGTGTTGTAAGTGGTGTTGGTGTTGCCGATGTTATCTCTGCTACTGTCGATGTTGTTGCTTCTTGTCGGATTTTTGCTAATGCCCATGTTCTTTCTGCTTCAGGTATGGTATGTGAATACCAGAACCCTCCGGGGCTGAAGTCAGGATCGAGGTCCGGTGGGTGCGTCCAGGAGGCGAAGTTGACCATGCCGTCGCTATCGGCCGTTCCTTGATCTGGTACAAAGTCGAGGACGAAGACGTTATTTTTCAAGACTGCTTTGCCGATGTAGAGCCCTCCTCGACGGTGGAAAAGCTTGAACTCTTGTGTGGTACTATCTGCTTCAAGATGGATCCCCTTCGCCATCAGTTGGCTGACGCTCAGTAAGTTGTAGCAAAGTCCTTCTGCAATCAACACTTTAGACATTTGCAAGATGACGTTAGTCTCTCGGGATTGAAGTTGTACTACGCCTTGTCGTCGTGTGTGCAGGTTCTGGTTGTTGGCCACAGTGATGACGACTTCGCGTTGAAGTTGATGCTCTTGTTGGACGAAACGGCTCGAGGAACGCATATGTTGTCTGCAGCAACTGTCCAAGAACCAAGTGTCTTGCCCAGACGGCTCGCTCTGGGCGATAGCTGCATATGTTGGATTGGGCTCCAGTGATTCGCGGCGGGGAGTCCTTTCATCAAGTTGGTCTTCTGGTGAGTAGTAGGGTGGTGATCCGGTGATG